AATTGAAATCGGGTTTTAGAATACCCTTCTAATATATTTGCAGATCATTTCCATATCGCGTATAATCCTAGACTGTAGTTATAAAAATAATTTTATTGTAATAAATTGTATTGTCTTTTTAACATTTTAGAGCTTATTTTTCATCCGCTATTGTTAATACAAATTTCAATTTATGTATTTATGTTGTGTTTCAAAAATATTTAACAATTTGTTTTTGTTTGTTTCATTCGAGTTTTAAAAAATTATATGTACACAATTGATCAAAAGCTTTTTTGTTTTTTTCTCCCCCAGGCATTGTTATCATGGGACGCCGAGTAGGCGTACTTTATTAGCAAACTTAAATGAATCATAATATTGAAGTATCCCTGTGACCCGAAACGAAACCTTTCCGAAACTGGTTTCGAAAATACTAGTACGAAACCAAAAGGAGTTACGACTTCGGTTTTACGAAACCTAAAATTTTAAAACAAAACGATACCTTTCGAAAAAGAAAAGATTTCAGATCATTGAAAGGAATTATATGTAAACTTTATCACAATATGCTAATTTCGCTTTTTCATTAAATTTGGTAATTAAAAAAATCGTTGATCTACCGAAATGTGTAAAAAGGAAAAACATAGATCCTTATTAATTAATTTGAAAAAGGTGGGGAAGTAGGATATCTTACCTAATCTTACCTAATCGGTCCAGTTATTTTCGGAAATCCTATCGCTATTATTATAGTCGACGTAAACTAAAAAAATAAAGACCGGATCGCATGCATATCGATATCTAGATGGTGTCAAAGGAGTATGAGAGCGTGAAGGTGTGTGAGAACGTGAAGGTGTGTGAGAACGCGAAGGTGTATGAGAATGTGAAGATCCATCGTTAAATGTAGATAAATGAGTAGATCTACTTTGTGTCCTTGGTTCGTCTAAATTTAATGTTGAGGGTCTTGAAGCTGTCGTGCCATACCCTCGACCTTTTATCAAGTTCTCGGTAACTTGATATTGCCAGCTACCTGGTTCATAGTGGGTGGTCGGTGAAGACGGTGGGTTTGGAGTTCGAGGGGCTTGCCCCGAAATTGAAGTTCTA